TGGTTAAAATTGCTGCACAATTTTGTACAGCAATTGGTTATCCAAAGTAATATAATGATCACTTAGTATAATAAAAATCCCATTTATTTATATATAATTTTAGGCCTTTTAATAACCAAAATCCGAGCATTTGATCGAGATATCAATGATAAGGTTTATTTTCACATGAAAGATGACAATAAAAAGTTTACAATTGGCCATATGGATGGTATTTTGAAATTAGCAAATGAATTAGATCGAGAAGAGCAAGATTTCTATGAGTAAGTACACTCTTTTCATTAAATCAGTGTGTTTTTGATACTAATTTTAGGAAGTTTTTTTCAGGATGAATTATGATATTGTATATGTTTTCTGTCTAAGTTTCAAGCTTGACATTATCTTTGAGAGCTCTTTTAATTTTAGGCTTCACATAATGGTAACTAATTCGGAGGGATTACCAGATAACGAGAATGATGCTGCGTTTGCTACTGTTCGAATTATGATATTAGATGTGTAAGTTTTTAACTGATTTCAAATATTCGATCTATTAAAAAAAAAAGTGAAATGCGAAAATTGAATTTATTTTGTGAAGAAGGAGAAGACAGACGTTGAGAACGATGAAAAGCAAATGGAATTATTATTTTGAAAAGAAGAAATAAAACGAATTCTGAAAATATTTACAGGTTGAATTTAAAGCACTAATTAATTTTTTGTTTTAGAAACGACAATGGACCAGTATTTGAAAGCAATATATATACAAAAGCAATTCCACGTGATGCAATAGCAGGGATGGAAATTGTTAAAGTTTTAGCAATGGATCCGGATTTGATCAATGCTTCTTCACCGAGTATCATTTATATCATTACCATCTAATATTTGTGATAGTATAATTGTCTGTCAAGTAACTTTCATTTCTCAATTTATGTTCTTTTTATTTATTTTTGTGCATTGATTAATAACTAATAATAATAATAAGTAAATAATAATTAATAATAATAATCAATAATAATGATCAACATTAATGGTAATAATAACAATAATAATTAATTTCTGAAATATCCTTCTGCAGAACGTTAATTAGTCTATGCTATATTGTCATTCAAAAATGTCACATCGCTAAAAGATTATTTCATATGACGACTTTTGATATTCCATATCATGACCCTTTTACGCAAAGTTTAATTTTCATTTTTCAATATTGTAAAATTTTATGCTCCAATTTTATGTCGTAACTTTTTCCGTATAAGGGGGAAATTTTTTTGACTACGTATTTATGATATGAATCATTCATGTTCTGAAATAATTTTGTATGTATCAAATTTTCTACTATTCATTCAGATTCTGATTCGGTACGCTACCGGATCGATGAAACAATTTATCGATATGCTGATCGAGTTAGACAAGTAAATGGTTTTGTTAATGTGGATGAGAAATCCGGAATTATACGACTGGTGCAATCGCCATACGATTCAGCTGGTGGTATATTTGAATCACGTATTGCTAGCACCGATCTTTCTGATATAATTTCTCATGTTGCTACCACCAAATTGAAAGTATATTTTAATAATTTCTTTTTGACTTTTTGAATTCCCGGCATAAATGAGTGATATTTTTTAAATTTTACGCTTATGATCAAAAATTTTTCCATAAAATTAGTAATCGAGTATAAATATTATATTCTTAGTGAGGAGAGAAAAGACGGAATATTCATTCAGTTTAATAATTACTTTGTAACAATTATTTTTCAGGAGGTACTATTGAATTAAAACATACTTGAATAATGTCATTAATTAAATCAATCAGTTTAGTTTTTTAATGCTGTTTAAAGATGGAATTTATCGTTTAAAATGTAATATGACTATACAGTATTGCTTTTGTTTCGGTATGGGTATACGATGTGTCACATATCATACAAATGGATATCGATCAAAGTGCTAAAAATTTAAATGTTAATGAACTAAAAAATTTGACTGAGTTAGTTTAATATTTTTAATTTATAAATTAATAACTTTATTTTGAACGATACAAATTTTAATTTAATCCGATGAAAAAATGGCACGAATTTTAATTTAATATAATAAATTTAGGATTATTGGTGAATTATGTGAATGTGATGTGTTATTATTTAATGTAAAATATATAAGTTCTGACGGACGTTTATTACGAGAAGCAGTACGAGCGCAATTTCTATTCATCAATCGAACTAATGATGCGCTCCTTTTAGCTGATCAAGCCATTTCAATTATCGATAAAAATGCGCTAAATCCAAAAGGTGTAGTACCAAAATTAAGTGCGCTTTCAAAAGTAAGCTTTAAATTTTCTGACTCTGTTCATAGGAAAAAAAATTTTTTTAAATGTTTTTTGGAAATTCTTTTTTTTTTTTAAAAAAAAAGAGAAAAAAAAGAAAAAAAAATCAAACTAAAGATTTCTTTACCTTTCATTTCTTATCATTATTTCCATTAATTTTAATAAAATTTCTTTCAAGTATACAACTGATGTGACAAAATTATCGGACACAGTACCATACGCACGTCTCCGTGAAGCAGCCCTCCTCTTAGCCATTTTCACGTTTTTACTTTTTTCTGTGCTAATTGTATTCGCTATGATTCTTTGCTATCATCGTTCAAAGTGAGCTTTTTTTCTAATTTCAATTGCTACAAAGATTTTATAAATTTTGAAAAAAAAAAAATAAATGCTTTTTATAAAGAAAAAAAAAGTCATATTGTCTTGGAGGTATTGGTGAATTTATTTCTACAAGAGCTGTTTTTCTCCGAAGTATTGATAACTTGCTCTTGAAAGTGTTTGATCATACTACTTCTTATTTTTGATTTTATTCCGGAAACTAATCATTTCCGGAAATAGTTAAGAATAAAGAACTAATATCTGCTACTATATAATGCCGTAAATTTACTTTAACCAATTTTTTATGTTTTTACTAAAACAATGCTGAGAATACCTTAACATCTTTATCATTTAAACTTTGAACTGACAATTTTCTAGTTATTGTAATCACTTATTATCAATCAGGCTAATAATCAATGATTGGTACCACTAGTGTACTATCTTCTATCGCAGCATGCTGTGATTTTGATACATTTTCTTCCCAACTTAAACTTTTTTCCGGTTCTATTTTCTTATCATAGCAATCTGATTGAATTACTTACTGTTCGATAATCATTTGCTAAAATTTTAATGTCAATCAGAAAACAATAATTTTGCTTAATTATCACTTTTTGGCGGTGCTAACTCTCTCTCTCTCTCTCTCTTTTTATGCTGTAATTTACTTTTAATTTCAATTTACACATTTACCCACTTCAACTTACTGTTATACTTTATTTTCCGATAATCTGATTATTATTCGTCTTGATTTTATTTAATTGGATGATTAATATTTATTTACTTCATATTGAAATATAGTAGTTATTGCAGATTCTTACGTGAAAAGAAAATGCATGAAGATGAGAAGATAGCAGCAGGATCAATGAATAAAATTAATCGTTATAAGCAACCATTAGCGTACGTGAAATCAGTTCAACATAATCTAAGGTTAAACATTGTTAAATTTTGATTTAATTAGCTTTAGGAAAAAAACAAAAACAAAAAAAGATAAATGTCTTTTCAAAAAAGATAAATCTTAAAGAGTAAATTTCAAAAAATCACTTAACTTTCAAACACTAAAAATTCTATAGTCTTCTCTTTGAAAATTGTGAATTGAAATTTTAATAAAATTACAAAGAAAAAAAGAACAAAATTATTTAGTTTCATACAATAATAATAATAATGGTTATTTTAAATAAAAATAATTGATGACAGTTACTATCTTGTGACATCTTTTCTTTGAGAAAAAAATTTCAAATACATTTTATGTCTTGCTAAATTTTCATTTCAATCTTCTAATTAAAATTATGCATCTCCTACTCTTTTTAAGAGAAAAATATCCGAATGCAACAGATGAGAATATCTATACCACTCAGGAAATCAAAATGTTGGTCGGTTTGGATGATACAATGAAACGGGTACGCTATGCTAGTAATGATTAAGCAGGAAAGAAAAAAAAATTAATTTAAAAAAATGCAAAAAGAATTGTCATAAGATTTACACTGCATAGTTTGCATGAATCAATTACTGATAAATTGATAAATTTTCAAGAAAAAATTGTAGAACCTAGACTCAAATCATATAGATAATACTAAAGACATCAGGAAAAAGAGCACATCGAAAGCCATGTAGATTAATTGTGATATTTATACTTTATCATTGCCATCAGTACGATTTGATGAGATTTATCATATAATGAATTTGAATGCTATCTCAAAAGAAAAACATTTTGTTTTGATCAAGAAATGAATTGCAGTCTCTTTTTTCTCTTCTTCACTTATTCTCAATTCCAGTAACTAATCATTTTGATGAAAAGATTTGAAATATGATTAAACAATTTCAGTGACTTATGTTGAATTGTGCCATTTTAATGTACATCTTACATGACCATATCATGTGAGATATATTTCCATAACAATAACATCAAAGAAGAAATCAAGATATTACCGACCTGTTATCAGTACCATACTTCAAGAAGAGATATTAAGTTTTGCCACCGAAATCTTCATTAATAATAAAGAAATGAATTTATTTCTTCCATTATTTTCCAAAGCTACAACATTTCAAGGCAAAATAAGCACAAAATCAATAATATACACAACTTATATTTTTATTGTGGATAATATAGCAATTACACATATTTTTCTCTTTCTCAAAGTAATTGGAAAGATAAAATTTAATTCGTCCAAAATTGAGCAACTTTTCCGATAAATGTATGAAACAAGGACTTTTGAACGAAATTCTTCCCAGAAATTCCCATAAAATACTTGATATATAAAAGCATATCACCAAAATATTTAAAGCATTTCAAAATGTAATAAAATAAAAAGGAAAAACATAATGGATGGACAAAATATACATATATAATAATGCAATAACATTTAAGAATAACTTACTATCCCTTACATTTAGTAAGTACATGCTTATGAACGAAATGATGACAAACAATCATCAATAGTAAATTTTAATGCTGTCAAATAGTTTTCCGTAACATTTTGGACAGCTTTATTCATTTCCGAACTGTCCGGTGCAATTTTTTGGATTGAAACTCTCCACTGCGGTAGAACTGACTTGTCAATTAGAATTATTAGCTTCTCCATTTGTCTACCATAAACTTTATACATCACATTCCAATGCTGCTAAAAATTTTAATTGCTAAATCAAGACGGGAGGAGTTACAAACTACACTTCAAAAGTTTTTAAAATTCATTCACCTAATACTGAAATTAATTAGATTGAATACGCATTTTGAGAACAAAAACTTCTTTTCACATTTCAGTACAATGCTCCTTATTTTCAAAGAGATTTAACAAATTTCTTTTATTTATTTTTCAGTTTTTAATGGATAAAATAAGAAGCAGTATTCTCACTAAATAATAATTATAGGCTACAAATTATAATTTACGAGAGATTCAATTTCTCTTGAAAATTAGGAATGTATCATTAATAAAATAGAATTAAATAACACCTTTAAAATCTCTGTTACTAGTATAGCACCGAAGGCAGAACTATCCGCAATTGTTATAGCGATCATTTTCCACATTAATCCTAAGCCATTACTTTCTGGTGTTGCTTGGAGATCAACACTTATATTGGACATCTTCAAAGCAATAAATAAATTTATAATAGCAATTTCACGACAATGCCATGCTACTATCGTTTCGGCAAATCTTTCGGAACGCTTTTTTAGATCCAGAATGCACTTTAAGCTGAAAAATAAGGACTGTTAACATAACAGAAAAGATAATTAAGAAGATGCAAGGTAACAATACAAAGTGACAGTAGGAATTAGTTTAACTTATTCAATATATACTTCAATATGCACCGCCATGAAGAACATACATCTAATATACAAAATATATTGACAATAATGTGCAGTTTATTTTATATCAACTTGTAATATGGTACATCTAGCCTATTCTATTTACACAAATATTTATTATGACTTCTCAAGCAATTGCAGATTCCACAAGAAAAGTGCAGAATGATAACCATTCATTATGATTGACTGCCAAAAGCGGCGATGCAATAAACAATTTGCCATAGAGTAATTTCGAGAAAGCAATTGATGATAAAGTTAGCGATGACAGAACAGCAGCCACTACTTTCAACAGACTTATATCCTGTGGAATAAGATCCTGGAAATACAATATAAGAGAGGTATGAAACGGAATCAAAAGTGGTTAAGACTAACAAAAAAATAAATTTATAACTTTCCGAATAGTATTCAGCAAATAAAAACCGTCACAATCCAATTATTTCAAAATTCTTTATAAATTTAATGCTAATTTAGCAGTCAAAATCAAGTCTGTTTTATAACAAGGTGAGAGGTGTTTAATTAAAAAGAGATTATTTAAAATGCAATTTTTGAAAAACTGCAAGGAAAGTGGATTCAGATATGCTTTTCAAGATCGATTAATATTGGTTGAAAATTTAACAAAAAAAAAAAAAAAAAAAAAGAAAAAAAAATGAAAATAGTAATAAACCACTGAATTACCAGATACGTGTCAATGATATGAACCATAGCCCAATCACGAGCCAACCCGTCATCCTTTAAGTTGATTATTTTGCCATTAAAACCATAAACTGTTAAACCATTAAGCAAATTATTAAAGAAACGAACAATTTGAGCAATGTCATTTCGTTTTGCAAATTTCTTTGTTGATATCGAAATCTTTTCCTTTATCGTACATTTCAATTCATTCTATAAAAAGTCTTATATAAAAGTGTCAGATATTTGCAGTACCAGATACACTATATATATTCATATCTTCATATATATCCTTTATTCTAATTTACATGTATGTATTATATGCATTATTTTAATTTATGTGTGTTCTTTCTTGATAAATTTTCATATCTCAGTACCGAAAGGGTCTATTATATAGCAACTCCACGAATTATCATAGTGAAGCGATAGCCAACGGTGAACATCACATTGCTAATATTTGCAATATTCAACTCAGATTTCAGACTACTTCACAGCAATAGTCAATGTACTCAACTTTGGAAACTTACAAAAATTAATTTTCCTTGTTCACATATGATCGAATAATACACTAAAATTATATTTTAAAGGTGATTCACTTGTTTAATATCTAATATCCGTTGAAGACTATGAATAAAGAGAGATGTCGTAACTGCGTACAGTGTCTTTAAAATCTTTAACCAAAAAAACAACTTACTTTGACAGAATCTGGTACATCAGCTAGATTTGCCATGAAAGCCCTTGCGAAAGCTATCTCATATCCGTAAATTTGATGAGAGTGATTCGGACTTTTAGTATTTGAGTCATCAGAAGTTCCGCTGCTTACAGTTAGAGATTTTACCTTTGACAAAGACTGCGTTATTGATTCATTTTGTTTAGCCGCAACAATAGTACTTGCTTCGTTTGACTGAGCTGAACAGAACAGGATCAAGTCATTCCAAAATTCCAAGGTTTCTATGAAGCAATCTTATAGAAAAATTAAAACGAAATCGTGAAAAATACTTTATGACAGTAATTTAAACTTGAAGCTTCGAAAAAACTCACGCTGTTCCTCTACAATCTGTTGCAAGGGCCAAGAAGTACTCCTTGAAGCTGAAGATCTGCATGAAGAGATTGAATCCGTCCTCGTAAGCGTTGCATGGCCATTTTTCAATGTTTCTGATGAGAAGATAGGTGTGCTTGTTTTGTGGACAAAAAACAAATGCAGCAGAATTATCAGACTGCTGTTGAATTTTCGGTGTTGCACATGCCGAAGTAACGTATGCAGGAAATGATGAAGTGGTCTTTGGATTTATTCGATTAACAACTGCAGGAATTGCATTGAAAGTTGGTGCTAGATTAGCAACAGTCACTGAAGATGATGTTGAGGACATGTATGATGTTCCTATATCGATAACAGCAGTTGATTTTGAGGAATAGACCAAGGTAGAAGCTTCTGTTGGTAGCCAAGATTTTGACTTGATAGAAGTCGATTCGACTGGTACTGCAGATTTAGACACTGAATGATGTGAGATGAAAGTACTGGAATCTTTTAATGCACCAAGATTGGATTTTGATTCAGGATCATGATTTGCGCTAAAATAAGCAAAACAATAAACAATGAATAAGAAATGTTAAAGTCTCCTGGAAATATGAAACAGCTCATGGCATAAATATATTTAACCTAATTTTAAATTACTCATCCTATATTCCGAAATTAACATTTATTTGTCTTGAAGTTAACTAATTTACACTGCTGTATTCACGACAGTTTTTATTACCTAACTGGGTGGATTAAGAAAACAAAAGTTTCTGAAGATTTACTTTAGTCTTTCCCTGAATGATTCTTCTAGTTCTTTCTTCTGTTGTGAAAGAAATAAATCCAATATTAGTCGTTCCCGAGGCTAAAATGAAATCCGTTAGTTGCTTCTAAAGAAATTTTTGCCTTACTGATTCCATGAATTACAGTTCGTTAAGCATCGACATGCCTTACTGATACTCTATATTATGTCAATAAATGTCATGACTAACAGGAAAATTATGAATCATGATGACTGAAATTTTGATTCTTTTTGCAGCCCTGATCAAAACAATTAACTGTAACGTCGTTACTGCCAGGTTATCTTGCAATTTATTTCCTTGACGAGAAATTGCAAGAAGAGTTATGCACCTTATGCACTTCCCTATGGGAAAATAGGGAAAATACCTTCTATTGTTCAATTTTTCTGAGCAGAGAGACATCGGAAAAAATGCACAAATATCTATTCCTTAACAACGTTATTAAAGTCGAAAATATACCTTTGGCTGAAACTTCGCCATATGTTGTTTTAGCTTTTCATCAAAATCATGCGAAACTCTTTCACGTATTGCTTGACGTAACTCTCTCCGTTCTTCTAACTTTTCTTCCAGAAATACTCGTTGCTGATGATGTAGTTTTTTAACAAATGGCTTCGCCGACTCATATCTACCACAGAAGATATTTGCACCTGGTGATGTATCGAACCAGGAAGGATCGTTTTCATCATAATCACTGAGTAGAAATGATAAAGATTATGGTGATGACGAGCGTTTCATGCTTCCTCGTACGACCTTTCATCTAATACTAACAGTTATAAGTAATGTTAGCAAAAATTAATAAAAGTACAAATTTCTCTACCAATCTTTTTGCTAAATTTCCATCATTGAATATATTACTAATAGCAACTAAAATCAGTGCTCATCTCTCAGATCACTACAAATATAGAATACTACATTTTAAAAGTACAATTCAAGTTTAATGTGCCAAAGTACTGCTCAGTTCAAGTTTAATGCTCTAAAGTATAATTCAAGTACCAAGGTATATATCAGTGTATATACAGGATAGTAATTATATTATCCTGTATATGCAATGTATATTCATTCACCAAGTTTATAGCATCGCAACACACTACAACAACGATAAATACACAAACAACTCTTATCCGGAAACTTACAGTTCTTCTTCCGATATTCCAAAATGATTTGTGTGAAAGCCGAAACGACTTGACATGGCTGCCAACGAGCTGTTCTGAAATATTTTTGCAGAATCGCCTCAAAGTCAGCAAAAACAAAAAAAAATTCATTTTTTTTATTTTTTTTTTCGAAAAAAAAAAACGACATTAAACTAGCAGCACACTTCCAACTCGCAAATGAAAAGAGAGAAATGAATCGAATTCAAAAAGTGTTATACAAACTGTGAAAAGGAATAGTCCGAAATGCAAAACATTAATCCCTGCGTGAATTTCATTCTTCAATCAACCAGAAAATAGTGTTAACATACTGATATGATAACAATGGTACGATGTACTGATATGGTTGATACGACTGATATGTTAGTATGGTGGACATAATAACAGTGATTTAATATATTGGTAGGATTGATGTGATAACAATGATAACAATAGTTCAACGTATTGATGTGGGGAAATGATAGTAATGGTAACAATGATTTAATGCACTGACGTGATAGAATGATAACAGTAACTGATATTGATATGACAAGAGTGATGATAGCAATATGCGACAACAGTGACTTTACATTGATAATATAACGGCGGCGACAGTAATTCATAATACTCAGTGATCTTGACAGATAATCTTGAACGATATGATAATAATGATTTGAGATTCTTTATGTGCAAAAATTACTTAAGATTTAAGGAAAAAAATTTCTTTATTATATGTAGCTATTACATATTCAGTTTTTTTTTCTAATCGATTTCTGGATTTCCAGTAGCAATTTTTCTTGCTGTAGTATAGATTTCATTCACTTATTTATTCTTCGATTACGCTTGTCTAATCAATAACTTTTTAGCTAATTTGTAATCATCCGTTATAAGTTGTCCCTTTAATCATGGAATTTTTCTCCTTAGTTAATTTTATGAACTTAAGAACTCATGTTCTTACTAATCTTGACCACTTATTAAAATGATTAGCACCTACAAGTTTAGAATTTCTCTTGATAATAATTTTCTTAGTGACGGTTCTCTTCCTTTTCCAACCATGATAGTGACGGTTCTCTTCCTTTTCCAACCATGATAGTGACGGTTCTCTTCCTTTTTCAACCACTCTTCCTTTCCACCATATTTAATAATTCTTAAGTTTGGGTGGAGAAAGTCCTTTTGTTACAACATCGGTCGAATTATGCTTACTTGGAATATAACGAAACAAGAATTTTGCTTATTTTATCTACACGATTTTGCACGAATTCTGATAGTAGTCGGGAACGGTTGTGGATCCACTGCAATGTACATTTAAAATCGGATCATAACTTCATTAATGTATTTTCAAGTTCTAATTAATTCAATATAAATTGGGTTACTCTTACTCTAATAAATCTAATCGGGGGTATAGGGATATCTTTAATTGATGAGATTCGAGATTTAGCAAATATCAGGAAAATTTTGATCCCTTAAATGTTTTGGCAACGAGTAATATGACTGAAGAATATGCCATGCTTGATGCATCCATGAAGATATGAAATTGCGTTTACTCTAAGTAACTCCTATTAGATCGTATTGAAAATTTTAAATTATTCTTTTTGTTAGGTCTCTATCGTTCCAGAGTTTTAGGTTATTTGAAGATATCCCTTTGAAATTCCAATTAACTCTAAGAATTTTCTTCAACTGGCATACTTCTGCTCGGTCGTATTCAAGAATAATTTTATTAAAATCATTGTCGAGAACAAGCTCGAAATTCTACTAGAAATAATCTTTGTACCGAACAATCGAATTTAGCAAAAGGTCAAATTTAAATCAATGTATTTATATTTAAGCAAATCATGTTAATCATTTATTGTAAGTCAAATTCCTTAATGACTCATAGATGGTAATGTGTTAACAAATTCCCATGCTAATCTGTCATATTATCTAATGCACATCTGCTCCAATCCTTTGTTTGTTATCTAATTCCGTTTACAAAAACTATCTATCCCATAGCCTTCCTCCTAGCTTCCATTGTATCAATCGCTTTATCTCTCCACCCTCAAATCATCCTATATAAGAGCAATTACCACTCAACCGCAGTTTTTATCCTGCCCAGCATTGTTACCAGTCTCCCCGTTGCTTAGCTCATCCTCGTCACTAAATTGTCATACTACTGATTGCTTGTTTGTTTTAATTACCCAAGATAAAGCACTCGACTCAATTGTGCAAGTAAACCAACCCAATTCAATCCATTCACAACACCAATCCAATCCAGTACAAACACAACAATTTTATGGTGCCACGAGCCGGGAACATGTCATCCATCATCATCAGAATCGCAGACCAAACAAAACGAAGATTGTGTGAAGTCCTCAACGAAATCAAGAGTCTGAACTTGGATTCGGTCGACCAAACGACAACAACCGACGAAACAATCCGTCTTCATCAGGAACGGAGAAGGATCACCCAAGAAAAAATCATGCATATCCAAATATACATAGAGGCGTTGGAATCGGTCAATACAGAGTGGAAACAATTCATCCAGCAGATTTCAACCTCAACCAAAAGAAAAGAAGAAGAAGATCGATACCTTCAGATAAACGACGATGAATCAGGTATTACCAACTTAATTTTACAAGCAAAACAAACTGTAGTCATTTTAAAAATGTATCAAAATGATTCGGAGTTCATATTACAACGGCTAAATCAGTCTATGGTAAGGGAGGAAACAACTCAACCCAAGGGACCCACACAAGCGGGTAAATACCCTACAGTAAATCTCCCACAACTACCACTGCCCACATTCAGTGGGAATCCAAGACGCTGGAGGGAATTTTGGAATAGCTTTGATACAGCTATACATCAACAAGCAATTCCCGATATCCATAAACTAAACTATTTCATCTCATGTCTCAAAGGAGATGCCCTCCAAGCTATCAGAGGTTATGACATAACTCCGGAGAATTACAGTATCGTAAGAAATGTCCTCGTCGAAAAGTTTGGGCAGCCTTACGCCATCAAACGAGCCTTGTTCACCGAATTATACTCCATCAAAAAGAATGATAGAGAGTGGAAAGCAACGCTTGAGGCCATTGAGCGAACACTTCGACAATTGGAGGCCATCGGTGAGAATTTAGAGCAGTCCGGTATCGAAATAGCTGTGGAAGGGAAATTGCCAACCTGGATCCTAGAACAGGTTTACAGAAGAAAGAGGCAGGAATCGTGGTCTGTCACCAAACTCCGAAACTTCCTCACGGAGCTTGCATCTGTGAACGAAGAAGTAGTACAAAGCCAGTCCCTATGGTTTAAAGGGAATATGGAGAATCAATCTCCAATAAAAGGCAAGCCAAGACCACGACACGATCCTAATGAGACTTCAGCCTTAACAACCTCTGTTCCGGAGAAACCCATCATCAAAGCCCTATCAAGACCTTGTGCACTATGCAACAAGAATCACTGGGATGAAGAGTGCCAGATTTATCCCACTCTCAAACAAAGGCTGGAACGTCTGAAGAAACTAAACGCTTGCCTCAACTGCTTCAAGATCGGACATATGGCAGCCAAATGCAAAAACAAGAAACGGAATTGCTTCCACTGCAAGGGTCAGCACAATTCCGCGCTGTGCCCTAACAAATTCAAGGAAATGCCCAATAAACCAGAGGATCCAGACTCCACTACCACGACAAATATAATAGTCGAAAAAGAGAAGAAACGTGACAAGCGCATCCTACTCTTATGCAAGCAGATAAATGTGTTCAACCCAACTAATCCAAATACTCAACAAAGGGCTTTAGCCCTATTCGACGTTGGATCACAATTATCCTTCGTTTCAAAGAACTTAGCCAAACAACTAATGCTTAACGAAACAGATGAAGGGAAATTAAACATCGCTTCATTCGGCAAAAAGGACCCGAACACGCACCTTACAACCAGAATTGAAATAGGGATAAAAATCGGAAAGGACCGTACAGTGTTGCTCGAAGCGAACACCGTGGACTATTTAACAAACAAACTACAAGTAGTCAACTTAAGTGAAAGCGACATACGATCCCTCAAAGGAAGTCCAACAATTGATTTCCACAGTGAATGGAAGCAACCGGATATATTAATAGGAGCCAACCACTTCTTTCAATTCATCAATTTCGACAAAGCAGAGAATCTGCAATCGGGATTCACACTGCTCCACACTAAAGTGGGCCCGATCCTGGCTGGGTCTGGCTATACAAAGAAAATTTCTCCCAATTCACGAATGTCCTCACAAATAGTTTACGCCGCTAACACGATCAACGTTCCAGATTTAGATCAATTCTGGAAACTGGAACTAATAGGCATACAAGACAAACCCGAAAACAATGACGATGAAGAAGCCTTAAAACAATTTAAGCAAACGATTAGAAAATCCGACGGACGATACCAGGTCGCATGGCCATGGAAAGACACCAGTTCCAAATTAAGCGACAATTTCGAATTATGTCTCGGACGCTTACAGTCGTTAATCAAGCGACTTCACCGCAACCAACATCTACTTACCACATACAATGAAACAATCAATGAACAGTTAAGATCCAATGTCATCGAAAGGGTAAGTCATTTCACAAACCATCAAGGTATTATCCATTACTTGCCCCATCATGAAGTGGTAAAATCAGATAACACCACGACAAAGGTCAGAATAGTTTATGACGCTTCCGCTCACCTCAGAGGCAGGAAAAGCTTAAACGATGTCTTGTATCGAGGCCCTATCACCCTTCCCGATTTAGCTGGAATATTAATTCGACTAAGAACAATGAAAATCATCATATTAGCTGACGTCGAAAAAGCCTTCCTACAATTAGAGTTGCTGCCAACGGAACGGGACTGCACACGCTTTCTATGGGTAAAAGATATTCAGAAACAGGTGGACAGAGACAATTTAATATGCTATCGATTCAAAAGGGTCCCCTTTGGAGTGATATCGTCACCCTTTTTATTATCAGCAACTCTCAATTATCATTTGGAACATTATGAAACTGAAACTGCACGTGAAATCAAGAAGAATCTCTACGTCGACAATATCATCTTATCAGCGAGCCATGAAGAGGAAGCCTTGAATAAATATGAAGAAACAAAATCAATTTTCAAGGATGCGTCAATGAACGTGCGAGAATTCCTCTCAAATGACCAGACATTCAATGAGCAACTACCCAAGTCGGACCGAGCACGAATGAGTCAAATAAAGAAAATATTAGGGATTAAGTGGAATCCACACAAGGATCATATCCAAATAACACTAAATCCATGGACCGAACAAACAACAACAAAAAGAACTATTCTACGGTTCATCGCCTCACAATACGACCCACTTGGATTCCTAGTACCACTGATAGTACCGTTCAAGATATTTCTCCAAGAACTCTGGAGAAAAAACATACATTGGGATCAACCCCTCGACAATCAATTGATTGAAACCTGGAACAATCTTGTGGTAAAACGCCCAACTCATATCAAGGAAATCCCGCGATTCACAATCGATTTATCACAACAAATTACCTTTCATGTTTTCACCGATGCATCTACAGTGGCATATGCTGCAGTAGTATACGCCCATCAAAATACGCATACGTCGTTACTCTTTGCTAAATCACGATTAGCACCTATTAAAGGAATG